ACTAATGAGGGGGAGCAATTGATCAAAGAGGTATTGGCATGCTGTACTCTTTTTCCTTCATCTAGGTTTTGTCCTACTGGATTTTTCTAGCAAGGTTTTAATGAGGCAGTTTTAATCTATGCAATATCATTTTCAGATACACAAGAATATTATACTCTTTTTCCTTCGCTACGATTTTATCCCACTAGATTTTCCTTAGCAAGGTTTTAACGAGGCATATTCTTAGTCTAGTTTTGTGGACCCTAAGGAGAAGTGTTATATATATATATACTTGTGTGGAATCCACGAATTGATAATGTAATTAATGAAGACATTCTTGTTGTGGCGTATAGAGGAAGATTGCATTTGTGGCTTGTTTGAAAAGACTTATTTTTGAGCCTATAAAAGGTCATTTGTATCTACTGCTTAGGATGGACTTGAATGAAAGCTTTTCATCCTCTCTCTCTCTCTCTCTCTCTCTCTCTCGTTCTCTCTCTCTTTGTGAAAGTGTTTTTCATTTCTCTAATAAATATTACTCTATAGATATATATCTACATATATTTATTACAACTAAAATATAATAATACAATTTTCACATATATAATGTTTTTTTAAATATACATTATTCACTCACAATCAATACTAGGCATGTTTGTTCGATTATGGCCGCATAAATCAATTCAGGCAATGTTATACAATTTGTTTCTTTAAACTGAAGTTTGTTAGAATATTATACTTAAGATTAATCTCATTCGTCTATCTTTAAATGTATATGGTCAAAATTACATGTTCAAAAAAATTAGAATTTTGATTGAAGAAAGAAAGTGTAAATTTATTTTAAGAGAATAAAAATAAAAAATAAAAATAAATAGAGAAGAATAAGAAGAAGAGTAAGAAGGAAAAGAAAGAAAGAATTAGAAAATTTCTTTTAAAAAATTAAATAAATAAAATTGGAAGGGCAATATGTAATATTTTTCAAATATAAAAATGCATTATATACCGGGTTGGATTTAATGTATAGTCAATGCCTCCAGAAATTACAAAAAAAAATCTCACTTTTGTCTTTCCTCACAATTTTTTGAGTCCATCCCTGATTATATATATAAAAAAATTTAATGAGTAGAAGGATACGTGCCCTTTCTCTCCTTAACTTTTGTTTTTGTACATAACTCCCTAATTATTAAAAAAGATTACATATAATACTTCGCGAAAGTTAACAAATTTTTTTTTGAGAAGTGATACTCACACTGAATATTTACCGCATAACCGAATGATTTTGATTGGTTATTTAAACTAAATATAAGTAAGTGTGAAATTTCACTTTCTTATTTGTTGTATAAATGACTAATTAAAAATAATAAGTTTGACAATTCATTGGAACTACTCTGTGTAATAATAATTTTTTTTTCTTTTTTAAATTACTCTTTTTATTTATTTATTTATTATTATTATTATTTTTTCCCTCCTTCATGGGTGAAATTTTAAGTTGTCGCATGAGTCATACCAATATCATCCCGTACACTTCCCTAATCTGCAACCGTGACACGCAAATCAAAGCCATTTTTTCTTACGTTAATCACAATGGCGACATCACATTGAGAATTCGAACCAACAAGTAACTGGGCTTGTCTGGTCATGTACTCGGACTTCATTACAAATGGACAAAGTTTTTTAATCCTGCTCGAGGAGTCAGACAATTGTGTTCACAATTAGGTTTGTGCATGGGTTAAAAATTCTCATTCGAAGTTAAATCAAATTGATTTGGACCCTTGGATTGAGGGTTAACAAATCCAAATTTTAATACCCCTTTCATATCTTTTATAATTTTAAATATATTGTCAGGGACAAAATAAGTATGTGAGGTATTTTTTTTTTTTTTTTTAAATCTTGAATTATTGTATATTAATCCTTTGGAGGTGAAATTTTGCTAATTTTTTTTAATATATATTTGCATTTAGTTTTTTGTTTTAAACGTTATGTGTAAAAATAATTTAATCTGAAACAAACTCGAGATCAAAAATTTGAACATTTGTTTAATGTAGTTTAGTTGTGTAGCTTGCATTAAAAGATTGAATTGGGTGGAACTTACTTGAAGGTTTTATACTTTAGATTGAATCAGGGTTGATCTTCAATCCATCCAAATTTGCACTCTCAATGTTTAATAAAGTCATTCAACTTTGTTTTTTATATAAATTTTTTTTTCAACCAAATTTTGGGATTTTTTTGCCCTAAATTATTGTATGATATGGAGACCATTGTTCTCAACTAATTATTAGTTAACATGCAAGTAGAAATTGACACAAAATTGATATATTTACTTATATGTTCGTTAGTGATTAATTATAATCTGATTGGTTTGGAATTATATCATAGAAATTAATATTTTCTTAAAAATGAACAATGTTGTGGTATTAAGTATTAACAATCGAATAATTTTGACCGAGTGAGTGTGTTTATGAGGAGCCATGGTCAACTGGCATACTTTGGAGGAGTTGACCTCTTGAAAATTCCACATAGGCAAACAAACGCAGCCTAATTCTTGAAGAAAGACACACACCACTACACATTGTCTCTGTTCAGAGACGCGATAACTTGAAGTACATTTAAAATAAAAAAATTAAGCGCGTAATATTGGAAGAAGAAGGACAATAAAGAAATCGTTTTTCATATTATTTTTTTTGCATAATCTCGTTTTTTTCACAATTATCAATTTAAAATTTTGAAAGTTGTGGGAAAATAAAACAAATAAGAATTTCAAAATTTATGTGAATATAAAAATGTTAGCATCATAATATTTCATCCATTTTTGTTGCATTTTTCCATAGGAAATGACAATTACAACCATTACTTATTTTATTTTAGTTATTATTTTTAATTATAGCAACCAATAATGTTCCAAATTTAAATTAAAGGAGCGACAAAAATGTCCGTGATATTGAGCATCTCCAGTTATATATTAAAATACTTTTTTTATTTTTATTTTTGTGTGTAAAATATACACTTGCCATGTACGATGTGTAAATATATATATATTTTTTCTCCTGTAACGTGTTAAAAAACACATTGCTTCGTAATTGCGTAAAATCGTTATGTATTTTACACAACTTTTTTACATAGCCACATTAACATATTTCCTTTCTCCTTCCTCTTTCTTATTTCATTAACAAATCAACCCTATATTAAGTAGGTTTATAAAAATTATGTGAGGTCTAGACCTGTAAATTAATATATTTCATTTCTCCTCCCTTTTTCTCATTTCATTAACAAATCAACTCTATATTAAGTAGGTTTGTAAAAATTATGTGGGCATTGGATGATATATTTTTACACAAAAAATATAAAACAATTGTTGCATCTAAAAAAATAAATAATTCTATGTAAATCTATAATGACAAGTCAAATTGACCAAAAAAAAAAAAATTATATATACACAATGATTGGAAAAACTCTAATGAAATAAAAAATTATATATATATACACACACACTATTAATTATTAATGAAAACATTCTTTAAAAAGACAATTGGGGATTAATTTACTCATACGAAGGATTGGGTGACCTTGAAGTTTGAAGTGACAGAGCATTAACTCTATAGTAAAATGTTTCCAATGTCAAAAGTCAGCAGAGATGTCCCTTACAAAGAAGCGGACAAGAATTGCCTAACACAAATATACACCCGCTTCCTATAAATATATATATATATATATCAATTATACACATACACGCACGCACATTATTAAACTTTACATTTGCGATGGTTGGCGCCTTTATTTCAACTACGGAGACATTGCCCAAACCACACGCACATACCATTATACACTTACACACATATATGAATACAACTAAAAACTTTAATGCATCTGCTATGAAATCTTCGTGTTTTAATTCAACATTCAATCAAACATTTCAGCTATTGCTTATATATATATTTTTTTATAGTAATAGTAATAAAAGAGTTAAATGAGTCACTCACGCCGTCATTTTTTAAAAAGCGACAATAGGGAGTAATGATGTTAGCGGGCGACTCAGGCTTTCAAATGTATTTTGATGATTGGAATAATCTGTTTATTTGGATGTAATATATATATTTTTTTGTTAAAATATTTACGAAAAAAATATATTAGAGTTGAACAAAAATAATTTACTTATCAATTTTTGTCAAATTATTTTACACACTCACTTGATAAAATCGACATAAATCCTTATCATTCACAATATAATAAAAATAAAAATAATATTTTATCTAAAAAATATACATTTTAAGTTGAAACAGACAAAACCTAAATCATACTGAATATTTATTTTCCAAATAAGCAGTGTTGTAATCATAAAAGTACTCTTACAGCATGGCCAGCGGTTTGTTAAAATAGTCTTTTGTGTAAAATATACACGGTCACATATGATGTGTAATTATTATTATTTATTTTTATTTTTATTTTTTTCTCCAGCAGTATGTTAAGATTCATCGCCACGTCACCAGTGTGTAAAATTGTTACACAGTCACATCAACATATTTCCTTTCTCCTCCCTCTTTCTCATTCCATTAACGAATCAACCCTATATTAAGTAGGTTTGTAAAAATTATGTGGGGTCTAGACATGATACCATTATAAAAATTATGTAAGGTCCAGTCATGACACTGGTTGGTTCTTATTGAAGGATATATTTTTATACAAAAGATATAAAACAACTGCTTAAATTTAAAATAAATAATTCAAATTTGGTGCGTAAATCTATTATGACATATCATAATTATAAAAAATTTATATATATATAACGCACACGCACACAACAGTTGTCTTTTATTCTTAGATACATCTTAAAATAAACTTGTTTCTTTTTCAATATTGATATAACAAAATTATCTATCAAACAAGATTGTGAAAAGAAAAAACAAAAAAAAGGAAAAAACAAAAAAAACCTACGTCACTGACTTTTAATTATGACATTTACCTAGAAAGATTCTGTACTGGTACGACGAGAAGACTTTTCAAACCGAGGAGAACGACTGGACTTGGTCACTTTGGCAAGGACAGATAGAGAGAGAAACAGAGAGTCTAGTGAGAGAAACAGAGAGGAGGCGAATGGTCAAGCACTACCCCGCCGTGTCGTCGGTCAATGGTCTATATAAACCCTCTGGCTACCTTCTTCTCTCTCTAAATCCTTCTGTGTTTCTTCCACACCTTTTTTTCCTTCTTGTTTCTTGAGTCTTTCTTCGAAGGAGCTCTGAGTCTCTGTATAGATTTGATTGCAGACATTGAATTCTCTCTCCCATCTTTGGGTTTCATTCTATCCAAGCTTTCTCAAAACAAATGGCTGTGAGTTTACTTTCTTTTCTTTAGCTATGAATTGATTTTGTTGTTTTTGTTTTCTGTTTAATGTTTCTTCATGGGTTGTAACTTCGTGTTATGTTTCATCGGGTCTTTTAATGGATTTTATTTCCAAAAAAGGAAATCTAGTTTTTTATTTGTCATTTAATTTGTTGATGTATTAGCATGATATAGTTTTTGATTCTTTGAGGACTTCAAGTTTAACATATGTTTAGCAAAGAGCAGTTTGAATTAATGATATATATATATATATATATATATATATATATATATATATGTATGTATGTATGTATGTATGTATGTATAATATGAACTATGTACTTTGTGGTTTTTGGTTTTAAATGAAGCTATGGTTTTGGGATATGATCTGAATTTAGTTACGAATGAATTCTCTAGGTTTCAATTTTGACAACTTATTTGTTGGTTGAAAGTTTTTATATGTAGATACTGTTTCAATGATTATATATATATATATATATTTTTTTTATGAGTAGAAGAAATATTGCTGAAATTGTCTTAATTTTTATTTATTATTAACTATAAGGATCGAAAGTGATTGTACTTAGAAATATAGGTGTGGGATTATTTCCTGACTTTGTCATTAAATTGGGAATTTTTACTTGGTATAAAAATAAAATGTAGTTAGAAATTGTTTGATCAATTTCCTTTTCTTGATAGGATGTGACGATTTCATGGTGTGTTATTGTGGTTTAATCAATGTGTATGTAATATATAAAACTTCTATGATTTTTATGATGTATAAACAGAATGATTGATTCTTCATTTAAACCAAATTGTGTGATTTCAATTGCGAATGAAAACGACTCTTCTTATTATTATGATTAATTTCTTGAGAGAAATGGTTAATTACATGCTCTGTTTCATACTATACTGCGCAATAGTCACTATTTGTGTTGCTACTATGCAATATGGCACAAGAGCTACTTATTATTCAAAACCATGTTTGAGTTTCAAAACTGTCATTTCCGAACTGTTTTAATCAGAACTTTATTTTTTTTACTGCTTCAAAACTTGTCCACGGATCACATATACATAGTTCATTTATTTGGATGTAATAAAATGGATTCCATAAGAACTAACAGTGCTGTTGTTAATGTCTCGCAGCAACGTCCACATGTACCGCAGTTTGGCAACTGGGAAAGTGGGGAAAATGTTCCTTACACTGTCTACTTTGAAAAGGCGCGGAAAGGGAAAACTGGTGGGAAAATGATAAATCCAAATGACCCTCAAGAGAATCCGGATATGTTTCCCGGTATTGCAGCTCAAGCTTCTCCCTCTCGAAGCAGAAATGTGCCAGAGGAACCAGTAGGACGAGCAGCAGTTAGGCCAGCAGCACATGAAGTTCGAGTAAGTAGGGAAGATAGTGACCTTAGGCAATTCAATGGACCTCCGGTTCGTAATGGCAATATGGGACCTAAAGGTGCTAATGAGTCGTCAGCACATCAACGCCATGGAGGCCGCGGACCAAGTTCTGGACGACCAGTAAGGAACAGTGTTGGATCTGAGCACAGTATTGAGAGGTCTCCACTCCATCCACATTACCAGGCAAAAGTCATGGGGAAAGGTAGCGAATCTTCCTCCTTCGAAGGAAAGAACTCGTATGAACTTAGCCATGGAAAATCTCGATTGAAGCCAGTTACTCGAGGAGATGAAAGTGTAAGTTTTCTCCTTGATTTCTAATCATCCAAATTTCGTAAAAAGAATAACTTGAGGCTACGTGTGCATGTTTTCTTGTCCCTTTGCCTGATTAATATATATGTGTGTGTGTGTGTGTGTGTGTGTTTGAAGGACAAACTTATCTACTAGATTTCTAAAAGCTTAGTTTGTTTGAAAAAGGTTAACTCACTAAAAGCTTGTACTTTTTAGCTACCTCATTAATAAGCTTCCTCGCCTTCTTCTAATCCCTTAGAAAACCATGTGTGTTTCACAATAAACTAGAATAGGGCCCAGTTTGGTTGGAGAGAAATGGAAGGAAAAGAAAAGAAATGTAATGGAGAGAAATGGTATATTGTGTTTGTTATAAAATTTTGGAAGTAAATGGAGGGATTTGGAGGAATATAAATGAAGCATAATGAGGAGGTTTTGCAATCCTCACAAAATTGGGAGATGGACTACAAAAAAATGGTATATTGTCTCAAAAATGGGAAGATGCTACCAATTCAAATATTTTATAAAGCCTTTTATATATCCCGAAAACTTTTTATAGTGTCCGTTTGATCTGAAATGATTCCAAATACATGAACAGCCAGATAGAGGTGCTGCGGTTCCAAAATTCGGGGATTGGGATGAGAAGAATCCTTCAGCAGCCGACGGCTACACTCACATTTTCAACCAAGTGCGTGAAGAGAGGCACACCGGTCCTGGACAGGCACAAGGCACGGTGAACAAACCATCAACATACGGTTCATACCCCCCAGTACAAAAGCGAAATGCCAATGGCAATTCTAAGGTATGTTGATCAATTTATGTACTCAATCAAGTGTACGTGCTCTTCTTAGTTTATTTCAAATTTTTTTTTTTGAGAAGTACTTTTTGCATTGTTTGATTCTCTGTCTTTCTTTGTTTCTACTCTTGATCCCATAGTGTGGCTGCTTTCCATGGTGTGGAAAGTGAGGATTTTGACTTCGTGGTTACGGACAAGGTTGCGCGGGAGCTGCAAAGAATCTAGAGGCTCTCTCTATGCATGGTTAAACATTTTTCGACATTTTTCTTGTAACTATAAATAAACATAAGTTTTTGAAGGTAAATGTTTTTGCTCTTTCTTCTTCTTTCGCTTATGTTTCTTTGGCTTCCAACTGTTGTAAGAGTGTTGTAGCATTTGACTTCCATTTTTTTTTTCCAACCATGTATTGAGTTCCTTTGGATTCTCTATTCAAAATCAGATTCTTCTTCTTTGCTTTTATTGGGGCCTCAAAATGAGCAGTCTGTTTTCTTTTTCTTCTGGTCTAACAGTATGAGCTACGCGATAACGAATTGTCTTTCTAGTGCATGGTTTTCTGTGTTGGTGAACGGTTCTCCCGAAGGATATTTCAACCTCAACGGCGTTTGAGACAGGGTTGTCCTCTTTCACTGCTTCGTTTTACTCTCATAGTAGAAGTTTTCTCTTCAACGATTCAGCATGAAATGAATAATGGTGGATTTCATGTCAGTTATGCCATAGTTCAGAGTGGATTAGCTTTTGCACACTTAAAAAATAAGAGGTAGAACCAATAAATATTTAATTTTCGATTCATCCTGTGAGTTGAATACACAGGATGAATCGAAATTTTTTTTTTTTTAAAGCCTATCTTCTGATTCAAAAAATCATGGTGTAACGTGTATTCTCCATGGATGAAATAACTCAAAAAATGAATTTCTGTTCGAGAATGAAATTTTATTAGAATTGTCTATAGTGTGTTCATTGCTTGCTCGGTATAATTGTAAGCAACAGTGGAAGTATATTGGTATACCTCCCATGGGCCTATACTCCTAGCCCCGGCCTTGAATTTATCTGGACTAAGCAATATCTTACTACAAGTCAAATAAAGCAATAGTGAGAACTTAAAATGACAAAAATAAGTCACAAATATTGAGAATGAGAGTAAGAATGCACGAAACACACGCTCGGAACGTTATTGAGTGTTTTTTAAGATTGTGTGTTTCTTTTATTTATTTTTGGTAGGTATAGTATCTCTTCAGTTGGGGTAATCCTCATGCAAATAATTTTGAGGCTCCGTTTGGATGGAGGGATAGGAAGGGAAAAGAAAAGAAAGAAAAAGATAAGGAAAGAATTGGGAGGTGAAAATTATTATTCCACTTATATCCCATCGAATTAAAAAGGTATGAAAGTAATTTAATTATTATACTTTCTTTTCTTTGAATCCAAACATAAAAATAGCATTTTAAAATATATATATTTACTAAATTTATATGATAACAAGCTCTTCGTTCTAATTCAATAAGGTCACAGGTTTTGTTATCTTTCTTAAATTTTAAATCTGAATTTGCCCCAATCTGATGCGAGCGCCTTGATCCTTACACGTTACAATGCCCCTTAATTATTGATTCAAAATTAAATGAACAATTTTTTTAAATTTAAAAAAAAAAAAACTAAAATTAGTTCTTATCTTTTCAGGTAGCTAAGCGTCATTTGGATTTTGTTCAAAAATATAAATGTTGCAAATGTTTTTAAAATCACGCAGCAGGTGACTGTTGACCAAAAAACAAATACATCATGGGCGTCGGATCAGAACATTGTCTAACTACAGCATCTGATCTGGTGAGAACGTTTCTGATCTACCAACCTTTAAGAGAGTGAGTTCAATACTCACGCGAGTAGAATTTCCCCAACATATGTCCCCACCACGAAATCTAGCGCCAAAATTTCGCGCTACTTCTAAAATTTTGAATTTCATGCGAATATATTCGAAAATTCAAAGCTACAAACGTTAGAAACCAATCTCTTTCTCTCTCTATCTCTCTCCAATTCTGGAACATGCAAATAGCGAACGAACAACAGAGCTGAAGCAAAATTCCCAAAATCAGCAAGAGATCGTGTTTGAATTCATGCTAATTCCAGGTATTCCAAACCCTAAAATCAATTTATGCTTCACTTCTCAAAATGGATTCTTTTACATGCTTATTATTTCCATTGTATTGTTGAAAATGTGCACAGATATATATATATATATATATATATATATATATACTATTTTTGTTTTGCCTTTACTTGTGTGTAATTATATCTGAAGCATCAAATTGCCACTGTTCTCTCAGGTTTTGATCTGTAATCTTCAATGGGTATTAAGTAACTTTCATTTCTTTAATGAACCACGTTGTATTTCCAGAAAGAAGTTCAATTTTTCTGAAAATCTGCTTAGCCAATTGAGTAATTATGGTGAGAGAGCAAAGCATTGCGTCATTCTATGCTCGATTGCGCGAATCTGCTTTGGCTTCAGCTTTCTCCACTCCATTGCTGATATTCCCATCGACTTCTGATGTCGATTCGCTTTGCGCTTTGAAGATCGTAGGCCATGTTCTTGAATCCGATTCGGTTAGGTATGCGTGTTATCCTGTTTCATCCTTCAAGGAAATTCACAAGTACGCAGGGCCCAATTTGTGTTCTTCTGCCGATGAGACCGTCACAATTCTTCTGATAAATTGGGGTTGCCACCGAGATCTTCGAAAGATTCTGAATATAGGCCCTTCTTCCCGTGTTTTCGTGGTGGACAGTCACCGTCCCATTCATTTGCATAATCTCAGTGATCAGAATGATCGTGTGGTGGTGCTTTATACACAGGATGACGAGCACCAGACTGATTTGGCCTATGATTTTGATGTTTCTGCCTTGGCGGGTGCAAGTGATTTGAACAGTGATGATGAGGTTGAAGATGATTCTGACAGTGAAGATGAGAATGATAGCGAAATTGAGGAGGAAGATGGTGGTGAGACTCGAAAGAAGAGGAGGGTTTCGGATGAAAGTGAGACTGATCCAGTTAAGCTTTTCAGGAAGCTGAAGAGAGAGTACTATCATATGGGTACTTTCCATGGGAAGCCCTCCGGGTGTTTGATGTATGATCTGTCTCATTCTCTGAGGAAGAACACGAATGACTTGCTCTGGTTGGCATGTGTGGCTTTAACTGATCAGTTTGTTCATGAGAGATTAACAAATGAGAGATACCAAGCTGGGGTAATGGAGCTGGAGCAGCACATTAATAGCTCAGGGAATTTGGATGCTGTTACTTCGGTGACCCTCAAGGATGGAACAAAGGTTTTGGCACCTGATTCATCAAGAATTGCATATGAAGATGAGCCAAAGCTAATGCTGCTACAAGAGTGGAACTTGTTTGATTCAATGCTGTGCTCATCTTACATTGCGACTAAATTGAAGACTTGGAGTGACAACGGCATGAAAAAGCTGATGCTTCTTCTTGCTAGAATGGGATTTTCACTGGATGAGTGCAAGCAAAAGTTCCAATATATGAGCGTTGAGATCAAAAGGAAAATGAAGGAGGAGTTTGAACTTTTCTTACCTGAGTATGGGCTCACGGATTTCTACTATAGAGGTTTCTTGCTGCTACATGGTTATAGTTCAAAAGTTTCTGCAGCAGATGTTGTTTATGGAGTTACTGCATTGCTAGAGTCGTTTGTAGAAGCAGATGGCTCTTGTGCTTCCAAGCAGTTTGGGGTGGCCTATGATGCATTGTCCTTGAGCAAGCTTGAAAAGCTGGAACATGGGATGCAACATGCTATCAAGATCCAAAGGGCGATTCTTAGACAAGGAAGTGCTGCAATAACTAAGAAGGGATCTATACGAAGTGGAAGTAAATTCAGGTGGGTGAAGCTTGAAGATTCAGCGGATACAAAGCTGTTGGGTTACCCCCAGGCTTTAACTAAATTCGGTTATTTCCTGATGGATGCTTTGAGGGAGAAGGGAGCAAAAATGAAGCCTTTGATCTGCATTTGCTATTCTCAAGATCGAAACAGCGTATTGATTGTTGGAGTTTGTGGGAAACCACGGCTTGGTGCAGTTCAAGGAAATGCATTTGGAATTGCTTTCAGAAATGCAGCTGAGGAGATAGGGGCTGAGTTCTTTCACGAGCTATTTGAATCATCATGGATAGTTTTGGATGCGGTTGCTGTAAATTCGTTCATGATCAGGTTAACAGAGAAGTTGTGGTGAAGAATGTTATATTCAAAAGTCGTCCAACTGTCTCTTTGTCTTTTAACTTCAATTATCTGTTTTTAAGATCTGTTGGTTACTTCAAACAAGCATCTGTTTTTCATTATCACGACTAAAATAATTCGTAAATAAGAACCCATAATTGATCTGTTTAAATAAAGATGATTGGTTTCTTACTTCTTTCTGTTATACAATGCTTGCATATTAGTTAGTAACACACACACTATGATGCTTTCTGAGAATTTCAGAACCTCAATGATGAAATTGAAGATCTTGCTGCTGAAAATTCTTATGTCATGAAAGAATCGTTTGGTTAGGTGTTAAATTAGAAAGTAGATGACAGATGCTCATCTATATTATTTGATACGAATAAAATGCTTTATTTCTAGGCAAAGATACAAGATGCCAACTTTCAAAAAGAGACGCAAAAATTCTACATGTAGACCAAAGACATAAAAAATGTTGATTTTTGATGAAAAGCACAAAACAGTAATGGACTCAACCCAGGGTGCAAAAAGTGAAGTACAAATTTTGAGACAAATGACAATGATAATTCCTCTTGAACAATAATAAGCTTTATTAATTAATAGTATAGCAATGTCATCGCTTTTGAAGTGTGAGTCATAACATTAAGTTTTGAAAGGCTAATTTGTTAGACCAAAAGGGGTCGTGCTTCTTAAGTTGGTTCTCTTCCTTGCATTTAGAATTTATTCAATACATGCGCCCATATGTACATTAGTGGATCAACTTTAACTATCAAACTCAATTCATTCCCCCCCACCCCCTTCTTTGTTAGGTTATGCGTTTGACTAGTTTATGAACAAGTTTATATAGGTTTTATTTTAATTCTTCTCATTTCTTGGTTTTTGGATATTTTAAGTTGACAAATCCTTACATTTATTATTTAGTGTGAAGAATTTCCAATTTAAAGGACTTTATTTGGTTTGGAAAGTAGTTTAATTTCTTACACGTTGTGCTTTTGCTCTTTGGAAATCATATTGAATGCAGTATTAAATGCATGGACACTTGCTACACATTGCATGCATATGCAAATATAACTCTCATTTCAAAACTGTGCCACCAGTGAACTAATTAAGCTTTTCTGGCCATCTGGCTCTGGGTATGTTTTAATGCCTTATTGAGATTATACTTTGCAGAAGATATCTTAACTAATTTTTGAGAGCATTCTGAGGCTCTGTGCCTGGTCTGCTTTGATTTAGGTACAATATTTGCTTTTATTGTTTTGCAAATCTGATAATCTTTTTCCAATTTGAAGCAGGGAAGAAACCTAAGTTTAATTAATTTTTCCTAAAAGGAAAAATTATTAGTTTGTTTGGCCATGGTGGTTGTAACAGATCTTAAATATACACGTATATCGATCAGAGTATTGTGTTAACAATTATGAGCTTGGGTTGGAAACTTGAAATGGATGATTTTGTTAGCAAAAAGAATATAACAATGGCTATATTGGTAAACTGTAAACCTAATAACTAACTCTTAAAGGAAAAATGGACAAGATATCTCTTAGTCATTGTAACAATTTATACCCACTGGCCCTCGGTGAGTTTCCTGATTGTTGAACTAGACTAAATTGATGACAAGTCTGAAGCCTTAGCATGGTAATATCATGGTCTGGTTTTGCAGGCTGTTATACTAAACCAATAGATTTTTCTGCTCATCGTGTTATGAAAACTGTTTTCAACCATGATGATCCTTATTTTTTAGATGGTCCTATTAGATTGGATATGCGCCTGAGATTTTAGACTTGTGTGCAAGCAGTGCAAATTTAGTACTTATTTTGAAGTGGTTTTAATAACTTAGGATCATGATTAAGTGTAGATTTTCAAACTCTTTGAGTCAGAACTAAAAGTTATAATGGCCTCATTTTATAACTGATATTTTTAAATATCTGTTACTTGATTTACTTGTCTATCACCTTTTTGTGAGCACTTGTCCATCTGGAATTACATTTTTACCTTTTCCATAGAGTACAGGATAACAAGGATGGGATTTTTGTGTTTATATCTCCTTGTGTGAGAGGATCATGCATCCTATTGGCATATGCAGAAACTTCATTCAGAACCTAAGGCTCTCTCACCAACCCCTGGTGGAGTTGTCTTTCTCTACATCTTTTAGTTAGAAGTCTATTCTCAAGGGACTTGGATATGGAATTAAGGATCAATATGGCGTTATGCCAGGTGCCGATATGTATCTCTTGATAAAATTGGCATAACAATCTGGTGAGTGTGGAACAATGTTTAATCCATGTAGAAGTTGATTAAACAAATCTATAGCTATGGCTCTGATTGGATTATTGCATGATCCTTTCCAAATTAGGCCAGTAGAGCCATTTTTTGACTTAATAATATTTTATTTTTTGACCACCAGTGTTAATTCTTATCTTATTACCATCAGTTTTTGTTCTTATACTTTTTTGCATTTTTTTATGATGGTCAGTTAACTTGCTCATGTAGTACTTTTCCCTGTTTTTTGTTTTGAGAGAAGAATGAAGGTGTGAAATACTAGCGTTTTGCCAATCCAAGTGATTGTTGTTGAGGCTTTATTGTTCTTTTAATTCACATGGAACTGTGAGGTTCTTCAGGAGAAGATTGCCGGAAGTCAAGTGGTGAAGGCAGATTTTCAGGTTGGTGATGTTTTCTTGTGATGGACTACCATGTTTAGTACTTGCAAATCTAGATATTATTCAATACTGAATGCATCTTGCCAATTCAAAATGCTTTTGTGGCTAACACACTCATCTATCATCCCGTTCCATGTTGTTTGGGAATTAATGCCTTGAGATTCCTTAATTGGGTCACATTATACATCAATTGATACATTTAAATATGTGTGGAGATCTTCCATGTTTGATTTGGCTCGACAGCTATTGTCAAACGTACATTGTTTTACTTTGATCGCTGTTACAAGCAAAAGCATAAATTTCACATGGAATTCAGAACTATCTACTTTTAAAGTCCAGATATTATGTAAATGCATTACCTTCTTACTTTTAAAGTCCAGATACCAATTGCTTGCGCCTTACCTTCAAATATAAAATTTTATTTTTTCTTACGAGAGGAAATGGTCAATTTTTTTTATACCAGTAGTGGGTGGAGATGGGGCTGTGACATCTCCATATTCAGCACTAGCACCCCTGCCCCCCATCCTTCTATACTATTAAAAAGTGAGTTGGATGTTTTCCCTGTGAGATGACCAATTTATGTGAGACACTAAATATAGGAGGCGATTCATCTGCGCAGCATTTTGAGAATTAGAAGTAAATTTGTAGCACATATGTAGTTCTTGAACTTCTTGGGAATTTCTTTCTAAGAAAGAATTTGAATTTGGTTGCATTGTGTCAAGCAATGTGTCGCCTTCTCTTAATTGTCAAAATGTGCCTGTTTATTCTAAATTAAAAAGTTCAGAATGAATAAAATCTCCCCAAGTAGATCTGAAGGTATGATCAGTCAGTTAACAACTGACCACTCTATCACAATCACGGAGCTACTGAGGAACTACGGAAGATTAGATCTCATAGAGTTCAAATCCTGTTCTCAACATATGACCAATATAAGCTCGAAGCTTCCTTTATAACTCCCTGAACTTCTTTGTATTGGCTCCCTTCCATGCCTCATCTGAAGGAAACCTCAAAGCGGGCACTTTGGAATTGAAGTGTTGAACTACTTGCGCTGCTACTGTATTTAGACAAAATAGATGTATTGGATTGAGTAAATCAAATTAGGAACTTCAAAAGGTGAATTAGTGAACACAGTTGCAAAAATTGCAGGTTACTTGGGGGCTCCTACTTATGTGCTGTGTTTTTGCTTGTTCATTTAATCTGTTGTTAGCCTTTTTTAAATCTTTTGAAACTTGAATCTGAATTTTTTTGAAAATCTATCGGTTTCATTTGCTGCTGAATAACATGCCGATTGTATGTACTGCAAAAGGAAGTGGGTGCAGGAAACATGAGATATTGAAATGGGGATGGATAATTGAGTAGTAATGTTATCTTCGAAACTTACATTTCCTTTCAGGTTTTTGATAGTTTTTGACAGTAACTAAGATATCTTATAGAGATCCTAAGATTACATTGATCTCCTCCATAGTGCATCAAACTGAAACTATCAAAATTGGTCATCATTAGATGATCACCAGTGGCAAAAATTGCAAAATCGCTAGACTGTAATTCGTTTATCTGCACCTGACTTCTGTACTTGAAATTTTGATGAATATGCCATTCTTTGCATTATCATATAATGATATAAATACAAAATATTGGCAGATTCTGTTTTTATTTTTTTTGAAGTCACTGTTGAACAGTGACCTAATTTTTTTGGCGATATTTTAGTATATTCTGCACTTGTGTTGTTCAAGTGCTGTTGCCCTAGTGAGAAGGTATCTATTTATTCTGAACTTTCTGTATTTGGTGCAATTTTCTTATATAGTGAAATCCCTGCAACCCATGGACATAAAGTTTTGGGTGAATAACGTGCAACCTATGTTCTTGCTTGTGCGTTTGATATGTGTTCTGTTAATTTTTGCAACAAGAATGAGCAGGATTTATAGAGGGACAATGTGAAATGCTAATATGAAACTAGCAGAGAGATATAATACAGTTCATAGTAGTCTCCCAAGGCTCATCTCTTTGCCTCTCTTGCGAAGTACTAATGTTTCTGTTTCTCAGTGACTTTCAGGTCATTTTCTACATGAAAAAGGAAATATGCCTCCCCAGAACCAAAAGCCCAAGTATTAGGACCACTAAGCTGATGACCAGATTAACTTTTAAAATTATATGGAGCCAATTAGTTTTGTGATTTAGAGATTAGTAGCTACTATTAGAGTTGCGACTTCACCAATTCAACCTGACTTGACTAGATCAATCATTTAATGAGTTCGGGCGACTCTTTTATTGGTGGGACCTAGGTTTGTTGAAATTTTTTGACCTGGCCTCAGCTTTGAGTTGAGCTTGGAAGAAAGTGTTCACCATTTTGAGTTTAAACATACGTCACGCTCATTATTTGATAGTTTAAATGTTTATTTTATTTATTTATAATATGTGTATCGATCTCACAATACGTACTATTTAAGTTAAAAGTGCGGTTCGAAAGTAAAACCACTTATAAATTTACATGAGCTATAATAGGGCTATTCCTTTTAATTTTGTACTTTTTTTTGC